TTAGTTAAGTAGATGAGATTGAAGATTTAGAAAAAGCTTATGCTGTTATTAGAAGATGGGAAAAGGATTTAATTTATCATCCTATATTTTTAGATAAATTAAGAAGCATTCTTTAACCTAAATATGATTAATTGAAGTATTAGTAAATGATTGTTAATTAAATAAATCAAAATGAATTAGCAAGCAATAAAATTCTAGTTCAAAATTTATAAATTATTTAATAATTTGATTCAACATATAAATTATATATACATTTGAAGTCATTAAGAGATATTGATGATAAATGTTTAGATTTTAATACAAACTTTGATAAATACATGATGAAATGTGAACTTGAAAAAATTGAAGATTATGATATGATAGATGATCTTTTAGAATAAGGAGAAACATCTAAGACATATTTATCTGAAGTAAATAAATTTAATATTTAGAATATTTGTTCTACTTAAAATCATTATTTGGATCTAGCCAGATTAGGAGAACAACTTATTAAGGAAGATTTTGAAAAAAAAGATAACAAAATTGAATATTATAAATCAAAGAGACCTATATCATGATTAGCAATTATTATATTTAATATTATTATTATATAGAATATAATAAACAATTAATTATTATAGTTTAAGTTTTTTTGATTTCCTAAAAAATTAATAATCATTATTTTGCTATATTAAATTAAGAAAATGTTTGATAATAAGTTTATATCTTATACTTCAAATTCATTAAAATATTATTTTCATATTCTTTTATTTTATACTTTTAATTCATATACTTTAATTATGATTGTAAAAATCTTTATATTAAAAGTTGTTATAAAGAGAAAGAAAATAACGTTACCTTTTTTTGAAGTTAACAAAAAAATTATCATTTAAATATTTGAAATAGTCTTTTTTAAAGTAAAATTAAATAGATAATTTTATAATTGTCTTATGATTGATTCAAACCTTAAAAAATAGCTTAATTGTTTTAAATTATATTAGAATTTTGTTTTATTATGTATCCATAATCAGAGTAATTATTTTTTAAATGATAATTTGATATGCCTTTATTAACTGAATGTATCGTTCTTTGTGCTGATAAAGTAAAAATAATTTAAATCATGGAAGAAGTTGAAAATCTTATTCTGTATATTCACTCACCCTATTCAATTCTTCAACTATATAAGAAGATTATCTATTATTTTTTAATTACTCTATCCTGGCTAGCATTAATATGATTATTTACTAACATTAATGTAAAAACTTATTTATGAAGAGTTTGGTTTATATTTTAAATCAATATATTTTTATTTTCAACATTTATTACTAAATATTTATTACTTTTTTTTGAGTATTTGATTCTGAGTTTTAGGATGAATACAATTTAAGTCATTAATGAATTTTTTAATAATAAATAGAAAATATTTTAATTAACCCATACAGATTATTATATAGTTGTATATTTAATTTATAATAATATAATAAATAAACAGAAATTCTGAATTTTTATTTATATTTTGCAGATTATATATATGATTTTAAACAAATAGAGTGTGCTGTTATATTTAAAAATAGATAATTATAAATTGTGTAATGTTTATAGAAGAATGGGCTTATATGATAAAATGAAGAGTACCTCTTTAGATAAGTAACAATCATTTGCAGATTAAATTAAAATATCTTTATATAACAAATGGTATACTATCTGATTGGTGCACCACATAAGTCAAATGAATAATCGGCTTGGTTAGAGATGGAGAAACATGTTCTGACATCTGGAATATCGAGATAAGCTAAAGGAAGAATTTTGCAGGCAGAGATAGGAAAATTCAAGTTGGGGAATTTAGATCACTTGATGTTCATCAATGATAGCTTATTGAAATAAGAATCAGTAGTGGAGAGTTTACTAAAGAAGATTGAGAGATAGTATTTGGATGTGACAGAGAAAGCTAGTTATGATTTCACAATTGAGTTGAAAGAAGGACCATGTATATTAAGAAATATTATTCTTAGAGAGTATTGAGAATTTCTTAATGTCATTCAAATGGAATGATTAAACCTTCCCAAGAGCATCAGCATTAACTGAATTAGTCAAGGCAATTTAATCGGTATAAGAATTTATTTATGCTTCTTAGAGAGCTACTCATGTTGAGACAGATTTGAGACAAAAATCAACAAGTTATTAAGAGTTAAAGAATTAGAGTTAATAAGTAGCAAAGAAGGAAGGAAATTTATTGGTTAAAGACTTGGTCGATGTGTTAAAGGAACCAATTGTGAAGCCAAGAGATTTCATTTATAGCGATTATTTAACAACTTTGGTTGCTATTGTACCAAAGACATAGATTTAAGAATGGTTAGCTTGTTATGAGTTTTTATGTGAAAATGTTGTGCCTTAATCAGCAAGGTATTTATTAGACAATTAATATATAGATAATTCTAAATTGATGACAAAGATAATTTGACAATTTGGAGAGTTGTGATCGTTAAATAATCTTTCGATAAGGATCATGATCTTGAAGTTGTAGATAAAGATGATGAAGATAAGGCAAAGAAATAAAAGTAAAGCCCAGTTGATGAATTCATTTAAAAGGCCAGAGATAAGCTTAGAATTACTGTTAAAGAATTTGGATATAAATCTTAAGAATCAAAAGAAAGGGAAAAATTGAGATTGGATCTAAAGTCCAAATCAGATCATATGAATGTATTTGAAAATTGTTTATAATTATATAGACTACATTAAAATAAGCATGTGAAAAAGCATTTAGTGACTTATACATTACATATATGCATTTAAAGGTTCTCAGATTAGTTGTTGATATTGCTATGAGATTTGGAGCAGCTGAACCAAGCATTTAATGCATTCTTAAAGTAAGATTAGATAATATAATTTTAATTAGCCAGATCAAGGAAAAGAAAAGAAGGTTTAGTAATCCCTTTTGAAATTGTATGCTGATCCTTCTCAAGTAGGATTATATGGAACAAAAGAAGAATTAGAAGACACTGAAGATTTCTTCCCATTTGTGTATGTTCCAATTAACATTCCATGAATTTTAATTTTTAGGAATAGAGATTTATCCAAATACAAAAACAATTATTTCCAATTTAATTAAATAAAATATCTTATTCATGTAAAGAGTCCAACATCTCAGTGCTTAAGTCAATAATTGTACACCTGTTCCATCAAGAAGTGACAACGATGTCGTCATTTGTGGTGCTGTTAGAACTCCTTTAACAAAAGCCAAAAGAGGATTATTGAGAGATACTCCACCTGAAATTCTTCTTAGCACAGCCTTCACAGGTCTTTTATAAAGAACTAAAGTTGATCCAAAATTGATCTAAGACATCGTAGTAGGTAATGTCAATCAACCTGGAAGTGGTGCTATCGTTTCTAAAATGGCTGCCTTCTTGTCTGGATTCCCAGATACAACTTGTTTGACAGCTATAAATAGATTCTGTTCATCAGGAATTGAAGCATGTGCTGTAATTGCTGCCAAAATTAGATCTGGAATGTTGGATATTGGTATTGGAGCTGGAGTTGAATAAATGACTATGTATGATATGCAAAGTCAAATGAATGCTGAATTACTCAGTGATGCTATCTTTGATCATCCATGTGCAAGAGATTGTTTATTGGGTATGGGATAAACATCTGAGAATGTTGCAGCCCAATTTGGAGTCACAAGATTGTAATAAGATAAATTTGCTTATGAATCCTAATAAAAAGCTTATAGAGCATAATAAGAAGGATTATTCAAGGATGAAATAGTTCCTGTCAAGACTTTTATTAAAGATGGAGATAAAACTAAGGAAGTCATTGTTACAGAAGATGATGGAATCAGAAAGGAAACCACTCTTGAAGGCTTAGGTAAATTAAAGCCTGCTTTTGGAAAAGATGGATCAACTACAGCTGGTAACTCTTCTTAAGTCACTGATGGTGCTGCTGCTGTTCTTTTAGCTAGAAGATCTGTAGCCAAGAAATTGGGATTACCAATCTTAGCTAGATTTCTTGATTACACTGTTGCTGGTGTACCACCCAATATCATGGGTATTGGACCAGCTGCTGCTATCCCATAATTATTATAAAGAAATGCTTTGAAACCAAATGACATTTGCATTTATGAAATAAATGAAGCCTTTGCCAGTTAATCTGTTTATTCAGTTGAAAAAATAGGTATTGATCCAAGTAGAGTTAATCCAAAGGGTGGTGCCATCGCTTTAGGACATCCATTAGGTATATAAAATTTTAAATTTTAGGATGCACTGGTGCCAGATAAGTAGCCACTTTATTACCAGAAATGAAGAGAAAGAAGGCTAAATATGGTGTTATTTCTATGTGTATTGCTACTGGTATGGGTGCTGCTGCCTTAATTGAAAATGAATAATAATGAGTTTATAGTACAAAATAAAAAAGAATATATTTATAAATATGGATTAAGATTATAAAGTTGTACTTTTTGCATTTCTTTAATAGAAGCTAAGTTGGCTGTCGTAATCAACCAAATACATCTTGCTTTAGTTGAAAGCTTTTATGAGAATTTGGCTACCGACTATAAAGTTTCTGTATCATAGCTCATTAGTTGTTTAAATTTCTCAATTATTTTACCTCTTTTTTAAAGTAGTCAATTACTTGATAGATGGTAAGATATTTTAATTGCCTTTTCCAGTTATTGGCAAATTATAAACATAAGATTTAAAAAATCATTTACTAAAGATATTTAATTTTAATTATCGAAGAGTAAGATTGCCTGAATTCCTTTTACTTTAGTTTCCTATATTATTAAATAATATACTTTTCTACTTTGTAATTTATTTAATTTAAAGACTAGATTAATGCAAGATGAAAAATATTATTTAGCCATCATGGTATTCATATTGGTTTATAAATTTAGAGAGCACCTGATTCTGTATGAGATTAATTATATTTGGATATAAATAGGTTATATACATAAATTTCAATATTTTATTGCTGAAAATAAATTTATTTTGTTATTACTTTCTCATTGAGTTCCAAATTTTCACCATATGCAATCTATTTCAAATCAAAAATTAAAAACACCGAGACAATAAGTTTAAATTTCTCCATAACAAGAAATAACCAATAACTACGATTAATTAATGATTCAATATTCTGAATTAGAATAAGAAATGTATTCTCAAAGAACTGATAATCAAACTAAATATCAATAAATTGTTACTAAAATTGACAACATTTACAATGAATTAACAACAAATATAAATTAACTTTAATAATCATCGCGCTAAGATTACTAATAATTATTAGAAGAATTAAAATCCTAAAGAGAACAAAATATATAAATGTTATAAGCTATTGCATTAAGACAGCAAGGAAATAAATAGTAATAATTAAATGGGCACAAATAAAATTTATCTGATAATTAATATGATTACATAGATTAGTAAGAATAACAACTTCTAGAAGATCTTTAAACTTTGGATAGCTATAAACAATAGAAATATGATATTCATGATCTAATTCCAGTCAGTTCAAGAATTTAAATGAATTATTTATCACCTACAAGTCATCAAAGAATCAGTTCTAATTACAACAGCATTTAACAATAAAAATAACATACACCTTTATAATCTACTCAATATTCTTAAAATACACCATAAATACAATATCTTAATTAACTTAGATAAAATTATGGCATCATAGAATTTACTTAAAATCAAAACATTCAATATTAATAATAAAAGTATTTACCAGCCCCATAATAAGAGAAAGTACAATCAGCTAGATATTAAATTAATTCATATGGAGACTATTAAAATAAAAGCCCAATTCTGATCACAAATGAGGAATAAATTGTGGATTAAAGAAATTCATATTTTCCAATTAGTGTAGATGTCTAACCGGAGTATTAATAATCGATACATTAGTAAGAGTAGCTTTAAAAATTTAATGGAAATTTCTAAGGAACTCTACCTTCACATAAACACAAACCCATTTTTGAGTAATAAATAACAAATAAATCGAGGATAACAGAACTTAATTAAGGCTTATATATTAAAGATATATCATTAGAAAAATAAATAATTAATAAAGGTGATTAAGCAGATTAAATATAGCAATTATAATAAACGGCAAATCGAAGATAAAATTCTTAATAAAGTCTTCCTTAAAATTTTTTTTAATAATAACCAAGTGTTATTCATTAAAAAGAAAGAATTTTTGATCTATCACATATAAATTTGAGTAGAGATAAAACTTCATAAAAAGTTTTATAATAACAATAATAACAATAATAATAACAATAATAATAACAATAAAAATAATTACAATAACAATAATAATAATAATAATAATAATAATAATAATAATAATAGTAATAATAATAATAGTAATAGTAGATCCTTAATATATCATAATTTGAATATCATAACATCAATCAAAATGAATAAATTCTTCCTGTTGAAGTCTAAAATTAAAATGTACTTAACGAATCATAATAGAGCATTATCATGGATTTGTATGGTAATTTAGGCTATGATTAATTTTATTAATATCTCTGCCAAAAATACCCTTTATCAAATAAATCACTATAGATTCATAATAAGCCTAATCACGGAGATTAAAGAATTTTAAGACAGGATTAAGAAGCATTAGATTTAATGTAATATATATATTGTACAATGTGTGATCAATTCATATCGATCAAAAATGCAAATAATCATTTAAATTTCTGTATAAGTAATAAAAATAGATAACAAGAGGATGATAAATATTTAGATTTATTTATTTGTTGTACAGATCCCAAAAATTAATATATAGAAACTAGACAATAAAAATAAATAAGATTAATAAATGAATTGACCAAGATAAAATATTTAATAGAAGTAGCCTTAAAACAAAAAGAATACACATATGAATAATAGAAATAAAAAGAATATTGTTTATTTGCTCTTGAAATTCTCAACTAAATAATATCAAATCCGAGAAATCTGTCCATATAACAACAAACTTAAGATTTAGTAAGTATTTATTAAGTATTGGATTAACAGTAATATAACTTTTATAAATAGATAGTGTTTTTATTATAGAAAGCGAATATTAGAGCTTCATAATTAATTTAATGATAAAAATTATATATATTTTCCTAATAAATATTCATTAACATTCAAATATGGTAATTAAATATACTTGGTTAAGATTCATTAAGGATTCTTGAATTTGTATTTCCTTATAAGAAGTATTCCATTCACTTCTTTTATATATATTTTTGTGTTAAATATAACTGTTAGGGAAGATTGGATTCTTTATTCTCTAAAAAAAATTCTGTAAAAATTATAGCGATAAAAAAAATATCAAATAAAATTATGAAATCTTATATTATAACAGATAGAATTCAACTACTTTTTATAAATTGGAAGAAATTTGTTGTAAGCTATGAGAAATGTGTTTAGAATTTTGGTTTGTTAAAAGTATTGGTGTCACTATCAAAACAATCCAACAGCACTCTCAATTCCCCTGGATTTATGTCCCATTGTAAAGCTAAAATAGATGGCCATTTCAATTAACTCTAATTAAATTAATAAACTCTATTACATATTGTTTTGATGTTAACAAAATTAAGATTTCTATTTAATCCTCTTCTTATATTGCCTTATCAAATACTTTAATGATTGTTAATGCTATCATGTAAAAATAAGATATTCCTTATTTGAATAATCCATCCAAATACATTTAAGTATATTCAAATGGAATAAACTACAATAACAAACTAAGTATCCATTATTATATGTATAATTCAGTGTTCACTTATTTTAAACATAAATTTTCATATGCTTTTGGTAAAAATCTACTAATAAGAAAATCTAAAATTTTTGAGTATTTGTTAATTGCATTAAGTGATAATTAAAAAATATCTCTGATTTCCATTTACTCTATTAAACTCACAAATAACCAAAAAGCTATCCACTCTTATTTTGCATGATTAAATAATATTGAAGCTATGTAATTCATTCCTTAAACATATCCTATATTAGGATCATAGACAGAAAATGCAGTAAGAATATTTCTAATTTCTTTGAAATGATTCTCTGCCTTTATTGTTCTTGAAAGATCTCTTTCAATTTAATGCACAACATCCTTTTCAGGCTAAATTTATAGTATTTTTAAAAATTGCTATTCTAATTATACAAATTCCTATTTTTTAATTAATTTTCTTACCTTTTTTTGATATTTATAGTTTAACCATTTCATACAATAAGATGGAATTCTTTTTTGTTCTTTTTATTCATTAATACTAGTTTCCGTGACTAATCAAACAAAAAGTATACCAGAGCTTTTTCTTTATTCTGTTACACATCTTGTGATTACATTGTATTCACTTAAAGCATTTTCTTTTGGTTTTGTCTAAATTCGCTTTGATGCTGGGATCTTATTAATTGTTGGAACATCACAATCTTTTACTGTAAAATCATTTTTTGCATTTTTTATTATACTGTTAGCCACATGCAGCATTAAATTTTATTTTGATTGACTTACTAATAATGATAATCATTTACTTCAGAATACTTTTCATTTTTTAGTTTTCAATCCGTTATAATAATTATATTTATATAATTAATTAAAAAATTATATATAAAATAATTCTATCTTTAATTTAGCTCTTACCTATGAAAGATATCTTCATAGCATTTAATACAATTATTATATCTAATATATAGAAATGCTGTATTTAGAATTAAAATTATCTTAGAATAATTATTAAGAATTATATTAAAATATAAATGGATAAGAAATAAGTGTCTTGGCATTAAACTTCATTAAGATGGTTATTTTTGGCTATGACTTGTGTATTTTAAGTTGGATGTTGCTTATGTAGTGATTTTCCATCAGTATTGGCATCCTAGATGAAGTTGCAATTCTCTATTTAATAATCAGATATAAATCAACTATTCACATTTTATTCTTTACCTAATGTAATATTTCCATTTTTTGGAGGAATCATCATTGATAAGATAGGAATAAGAACTTCTTTGGTTTCATTTACAGCCTTTCTTGTATTTGGATAAGGTATAATTTTATTTCTAAATATTTATAGCTTTATGTTATTATGGATCCCTAATTTTAAACTATAACTATTTAAAAATTGGTATGATGTTTATGGGAATGGGTGGAGAAATTTGCATGAGTGTAGCATAAAGTTCTATTGTTAGTAAATGGTTTGTTGGTTAAGAAATGGCCTTAGCTTTTGGGTATCATATACATATCAAAATTTAAGTTTAAAACTAACATTTACAAGATTAGGATCAGTTTTAGGAGTAAATTTATTAAGATACACTTATGTTCAATTCAATGAAAGCTTTCAATCTTGTATGATGATATGTTGTCTCATTATCTTAATTGTTTGGGGAGTCTCATTCATTTAGATTGAAATGGATAAATTAAGTGATTTTAGAGATGGGAAAATTAAAAAGGATGAAGGATAATCTAATGTTAGTTTATCAGATGTTAAATAATTTAAATTAGACTTCTATCTCGTATCTTTGACTTGTGTTTTATCATATAGTGCTTTTATTGTTTTGTAATAAAATTGTTTGCAAATGTTTAAAATTAGGTATTACATATATTAATATATAATTAGATATCAACTCTAAGATAAAGAAGCCACATTTTTTTACAGTCTACCTTATTATATTAGTGCAATAATTACTCCAATTTTTGGTGGTTTTGTTGATAAAATTGGATAAAGACCTTTAATTATTCTTGTCTCAGGTGTTTTGCTCTTAATTTCTACTTCTTTATATTGTGTAGAACTTAATTGTATTAATGATACTTGCCATAATTTAACATTATTAGCCTAAACAATTAGTGGTCTTTCTTTTGCTATTTTTGCCCCAGTTATTTGGCCATGCATTCCTTTATGCATTAAAGACAATGCTTAAGGAACTGGATTTGGAGTTGTAACATCAATTTAGAATATTGGATTATCCCTTTTGCCACTAATAGTTGGATAAATTATTTAAGATGAAACTTAATATTCTTATGTCTAAATGATGTAATTTATTAGAATTGTCACCATATTGGGTACATTATGCAATATAACTTTATATATGCATGATAAAAAAAGTGGGAATAAGTTGAGTGCAAAATCAATCAAATAAAAAAGTAATTGAAAATCCAATATTATAAGAATATAAAAATTAATAATAATAACAAAAGTTATTGTCAATTCCCAAAATTCTAAAAAAAAACCTTTATAAGTATTTAGAAATCGATTCGATATCTCTCAGAAACTCTAAATTAAAGACATCAAGTCTTCTTTCTGTTTTTACTAAAATAGCTATTTCATTTAACTATTTATGTTTTGCTCCTATATAATTTCAATTATCGTTAAATAGTCAATTAATGAGTTTTTGCTAATTATATAAAATTTTATATTAAATTAAAAAGTTATCTTGTTTTATCAATAATACAATAATAATCAATATTAGATATCAATTTATTGTGATTATTAGTTTATGACCAATTATAAAGCCAGTTAAATTTGAAAATCCATACACGTTTTTCTATTGAATAATTGAATAAATTTTAGATCTTGCATGACAGAAACTGTTGAACATCTTCGTGATTTCAATTATTATAAACTTAACTAGAATGTTACTCATATCTTGGCTGAATATATTTGGATTGATGGAACTGGAGAAAGAATGAGATCCAAAACTAAAGTACTTTTTATAATAATTATCTAGGTATATCTAACCCCAATAACTTAACTTTCTGACCTTGAATGGTGGACATATGATGGCTCATCAACAGAATAAGCCAACACCAAATGGTCAGAAATTTATTTGAAACCTGTGGTATATGTAAAAGATCCCTTTAGAGGTGATCCTCACATTTTGGTATTGTGTGAAACATATTTGCCAGACAAAAAGACCCCAGCCAGATATAACTTTAGGTAACCTTTATTTTTTATTAATAGATGGATTGCTAATGAAATTATGGAGAAAGCCAAAGATTTCAAACCCTGGTTTGGAATCGAACAAGAATATTTCTTATTAAAACGTACAGGAACAACTCATATCTGGCCTCTTGGATGGCCAACAGGAGGATTTCCTTATCCATAAGGACGATATTATTGTTCTATTGGAGAAAGAAACAACTTTGGACGTGCTTTAGCCGAGGCACATCTTAGAGCTTGTTTAAATGCGGGAATCAAAATTGCTGGTGTCAATGCAGAGGTTGCTCCATCTTAATGGGAATTCTAAATTGGTATTGCTGAAGGAATTGAAATTGGAGATCACTTGTGGTTGGCTAGATATATTCTAGAGAGATTAGGTGAAGAATTTGGAATTGATATCAACTATGATCCAAAACCCATCTTGGGAGATTGGAATGGTTCTGGAGCTCATACAAACTATTCTGATGTTAAAACAAGAGGGGAAGGAGGATATAAGTATATTGTCAATGAATTGATACCTTTATTAAGTAATACTCACAAAGAAGTTTTAAAATTATATGGAGCCAATAATGAAAAAAGATTAACAGGTCACCATGAAACAAGTTCTTATGATTAATTCTCATGGGGAGATGGATCTAGAGGTGGATCTATCAGAGTTCCAGTTGTAACTAAAGAATTAGGAGCAGGGTATTAATTATATTTATTTTTTTAGTTATTTGGAAGACAGAAGGCCAGCCGCCAACATTGATCCTTATTTAGTTAGTGCAGTAATTGTAGATGTTGCTTTGTTAAATAGTACCTATGTTAACTAACTAAAACAATTATTGGTTGAATCAGCTAAACCACTAGCATGATTATGATCGATATTAACAAGAAATTATTAATAAAATAATTATTCAAAATTATATTCTATATTTATATAAGTATAAAATTGCTGTATCTTTTTCATCAAAACTTCAATAAACTCAAATTTCTGAAATTAATATAAAATAATGTCTTACTTTTTACAATCTATTGATTAGTTTGGAGTTTAGTAAAAATTATAAATTCCCCCGATTAAACCAACATAGAAAAGTGCTTTTGGCGGATTAGTTACTCTAATTTTATATGGGGTCAGCCTAGGATATTTTCTCTCTTAATTTTATGAATGGTAATAAAATAATAAGCTTCCTAAAATTACTTTTCTTTAAGAACAAATTTAAGATGGCTAAAAATTATTGATTGAAGGAGTATTTACAGAAATAAGTTATTTGAAAACTCTCAACAATCCTATAGATCCTTTCAATCCTCAAAGTCTTATATTTTAACCAATTTTGGAAATCGTTCCATAAAATAGATCAAACGTATATCTAAATTCTAAAATAGATCTAAAGCATTCCTCTTATTTTAGATTAGGAAAAATTAGATAATGGAAAAATAATAACTAAATTTTTGATTAAAAATATTGAGCTATCCAATTCTCCTACTAATTTACCAATACGCAAAATAATTAATTATTAACTTTCTTTGGGTTACTGTAATCCTAATTAACTTTAAGAAGGATAACAATGCGCAAATCAAGATACGGTTGATTAATTTTTTAAACAAGCAAATTTCTTTTAAGTGACAATTTTTATATAACAATTCGATCCAAGAACAAAAAAACTTATATATATACCTAAATTCTTTATTTTTGATATGATCAAAGACTAACTTTATACCAATTAATTTATCCTAAAAGTAGGGGAACTAAGTATGGATGATGGATTTTTATTTCCAAATTCCAATAAATATACATATCTCTCTGATTTATAGGTTATTAGTGCCCAATATGATCAAGTGTATTCTAAAAATATATATGGGAAGGAATTAATATCAATTCTTTTTTTTAACTTAGATTAAATAAAAATAGTAAATATGGTTGAATATCCAAAAATATCAGAAATATTAGCTGATACTGGTTCAATAATCTCTTGGATTCTTTCAATATCATTTATTGTTTCAAAATATAATGAAAATTTAAGTATAGAAAAAACTTAAAGAGAAATAATAACAATGTATTATAATGATTTTATTGATTTTTAAATTTAAAAGAATTGGTTAGGTAAAATCTAAAGGGTACATTGTAAAGGAAAAGAATATGATCTTTAAAAATCTTAAGAAATTCTTAATCGATTAGATCAAATTGCAATTGAAAAAATGAATTATTTGAATTTATAAAATGAAGTAGCCAAGTAAATTATTTTTTAATTCTATATTAGATTATAATTAATCTTATAAGAACATATAGGATTATAACAAATTAAAAAATATTTAGAATCGAAATTTTCATTAGAATCTCTCTTTGATAAATTAGGAATACCTGAAAAAATCTCGTAATAATAAGAAATCAATTAAATTGTAATTATCTTTTCATTTTTTAAGCATGCCTAACAAGAATTGCAATAGGAAGTAGATTAATAATTAAATATAGAAGGAGAAATCGATTCTAAATTTAATAAAGATATTGTAGAGCAAGAAGTAGAATAAAGGATGGGGCTTTTAGATATGAAAACCCATGAAAATCTCTAATTTAGAGAGCAGAATAGCAATTTATAAATTTAAGAATCCCTCTAACAAAATAATAATTATTTAACAGTCATCAATGTTGATAAGACTGATGAAATTAAGTGATCTAAAAATAATAGATTATTATATACAATATCAATAATTTAAATTCAATAATCGATATCTAATTATTTATTTATGAATTTAGCAATTTTATTTTCTCTTCCGCTACTATTTGAAAATGTAATTCATCCTAAAATTATTCCACTAAGAATATTTTTCAAATTTAATCAATTTTAGAAATATTTTTTTAAAAGTTAATGATATTAATCATCTAGATTTAAATAAAATCAGATAAGAAGTAGTGATTGTAAATGGAATTTAATTGCTAAAAATTATTAGATTATAAAATAATCATGATGTGTTTTAAATAAAATTCATCTTTTAGTTAACCTAATCATTGGGTAGAATTAATTAAACTCAAAAAATATAAAAACAAAGGTATATGAATAGATAATTCTTATAATTAAATAAGACTTAATCAATAAATATTCAACAATGTTATACTTTTTATAATCAGTTGATCAATTTGGAGTTTAGTAGAAACTGTAAATTCCACCAATCAATCCCACCTAGAAAAGTGCTTTGGGTGGATTAGTAACATTAACATTGTATGGTATAAGCTTAGGATATTTTCTATTTCAATTTGTTGATTGGCAATAAAACAACAAACTTCCAAAAATAACATCACTACATTAACAGATCAATATTGATTAAACATTGAAATTTCAAGGAGTATTTGCTGAAATAAGCTACTTTTAAGAATTATCAAATTAAATAGATCCTTTTGATCCATAAAATATGATATTACAACCATAATTAATTATTACAACTAGTTATTTTGAGGTAATGCTATATTATTCTCTAGGAAACTACTATCAATGCAACTTTCTAATATAGGAAAACATAAGATGGTAAAACTGTAAATACACTCTTTATTGAAGATATTGAAATTAAAAATTCACCAATAGGTTCACCAGATCATAAATATATAAATTATCAATTATCATTTGGATATTGCAATCCATAGCTACTTTAAAATGGATAAAAATGTGCTGGATAGAACTTAATCAATTAATTTTTTTTATAAGACAACTACTATTAGATGTTGATATATTTAGAACAATTTGATCCTAAAAGTAAACAAATTGTTAAAATTCCAAGATTTTTTGTTTTTGAATTAATAAAAAATTCAATGTTTTAAAATTAATTTATGTTAAAAGCAGGAGATTTAATAGTAGATGATGGATTTTTATTTCCAAACTCTAATAAATACAATTACTTTTCTGATTTATCTATCATAACTACTTAATTTGATTAAGAGCATGCTAAAAAAGTATATGGAGAAGAATTAATTTCTATATTTTATTTTAATTTAGATTAAATAAAAATAGTAAATATGGTTGAATATCCAAAAATATCAGAAATATTAGCTGATACTGGTTCAATAATCTCTTGGATTCTTTCAATATCATTTATTGTTTCAAAATATAATGAAAATTTAAGTATAGAAAAAACTTAAAGAGAAATAATAACAATGTATTATAATGATTTTATTGATTTTTAAATTTAAAAGAATTGGTTAGGTAAAATCTAAAGGGTAAATTGTAAAGGAAAAGAATATGATCTTTAAAAATCTTAAGAAATTCTTAATCGATTAGATCAAATTGCAATTGAAAAAATGAATTATTTGAATTTATAAAATGAAGTAGCCAAGTAAATTATTTTTTAATTCTATATTAGATTATAATTAATCTTATAAGAACATATAGGATTATAACAAATTAAAAAATATTTAGAATCGAAATTTTCATTAGAATCTCTCTTTGATAAATTAGGAATACCTGAAAAAATCTCGTAATAATAAGAAATCAATTAAATTGTAATTATCTTTTCATTTTTTAAGCATGCCTAACAAGAATTGCAATAGGAAGTAGATTAATAATTAAATATAGAAGGAGAAATCGATTCTAAATTTAATAAAGATATTGTAGAGCAAGAAGTAGAATAAAGGATGGGGCTTTTAGATATGAAAACCCATGAAAATCTCTAATTTAGAGAGCAGAATAGCAATTTATAAATTTAAGAATCCCTCTAACAAAATAATAATTATTTAACAGTCATCAATGTTGATAAGACTGATGAAATTAAGTGATCTAAAAATAATAGATTATTATATACAATATCAATAATTTAAATTCAATAATCGATATCTAATTATTTATTTATGAATTTAGCAATTTTATTTTCTCTTCCGCTACTATTTGAAAATGTAATTCATCCTAAAATTATTCCACTAAGAATATTTTTCAAATTTAATCAATTTTAGAAATATTTTTTTAAAAGTTAATGATATTAATCATCTAGATTTAAATAAAATCAGATAAGAAGTAGTGATTGTAAATGGAATTTAATTGCTAAAAATTATTAGATTATAAAATAATCATGATGTGTTTTAAATAAAATTCATCTTTTAGTTAACCTAATCATTGGGTAGAATTAATTAAACTCAAAAAATATAAAAACAAAGGTATATGAATAGATAATTCTTATAATTAAATAAGACTTAATCAATAAATATTCAACAATGTTATACTTTTTATAATCAGTTGATCAATTTGGAGTTTAGTAGAAACTGTAAATTCCACCAATCAATCCCACCTAGAAAAGTGCTTTGGGTGGATTAGTAACATTAACATTGTATGGTATAAGCTTAGGATATTTTCTATTTCAATTTGTTGATTGGCAATAAAACAACAAACTTCCAAAAGTAACATCACTACATTAACAGATCAATATTGATTAAACATTGAAATTTCAAGGAGTATTTGCTGAAATAAGCTACTTTTAAGAATTATCAAATTAAATAGATCCTTTTGATCCATAAAATATGATATTACAACCATAATTAATTATTACAACTAGTTATTTTGAGGTAATGCTATATTATTCTCTAGGAAACTACTATCAATGCAACTTTCTAATATAGGAAAACATAAGATGGTAAAACTGTAAATACACTCTTTATTGAAGATATTGAAATTAAAAATGCACCAATAGGTTCACCAGATCATAAATACATAAATTATCAATTAACATTTGGATATTGCAATCCATAGCTACTTTAAAGTGGATAAAAATGTGCTGGATAGAACTTAATCAATTAATTTTTTTTATAAGACAACTACTATTAGATGTTGATATATTTAGAACAATTTGATCCTAAAAGTAAACAAATTGTTAAAATTCCAAGATTTTTTGTTTTTGA